CCCGGCACCAACAGCGCTCATGCGAAGTCCCACAGCTCCCTCAGCAGGGTTTTTGCAGGCCCGTTCCTCCACCTTCCTCTGTACATTGCATGGTTAGTGTGAACGCCGTTCGAGGCAGGGACCATGTCATGTTCCTTTTCTGTACAGTACCTAGCGCACTCTGTACTACATACATTGGTTTACCTAGTACAGTTTTTTTGGTGCTATTCTGGAAGAGTCAATTCCTGCCCTCCCCACCCCCCAAAAATGTCCCGTAAGTAGGCTCTGGCCAAGGGAAGGAGGAGGGGTGCTAGGTAAAGATACTGGGCAGATCCTTTGCACAAACACTTCCTAACTGACCTTTTTTCCATCTACGAACTAGGCTGTCACCGGGGCAGATCAAGTCATCCATGGACCACTCGCTTCCTGATGCTTAAAGCCAGGCCCCTGGTCAGCGGGAGCTCAGAGAATCTTCCTTCCTCTTATTAAATGCAATATACCAAAGACTTTCCTACAATGCCTGGGAAAACAGGTGCATCTCTATGGGGGATATTCTAGAGCAAAGACCAACTCTTTCCTTTAATCTTTTATTCATTCACCTGGACAGCTTGAGACTTGTTTTGTCCATCCAATCGGCTGGTGTCCGAAGGAGCGTGGGGAGGTGGAGGTGGGTAGAGATGCGGGTGAACATACACAGAAGTGAGGTGAATGGTTCTGGGGGGCCTCCCTGGTGGAGGTCATGTGATGCAACTCTTTCGAGACCCACACAAAGAGAGCTCTTTTAATAAACTAAATTAAAGCTGTTCCTATTTGCCTGTTCTTAAACCGAGGGAAGTGAGGGGAGGTTTAGGAGCTAATGAATGGCTCAGTGGCCACTCCAGCATCGAGTGTGCCAAAGCCACTGTGCAATACCGCCCCCAAGTAGTTTACTATTGAAGGGTGAGCCCTGCGGCTGGCTAGCAATGCATTCGCACTGGTTCCTCTTTGCACAACGTGGGACTTGACAAGCCGTGTGTGTGTGAGGGGAGGGGGAACCATGGGCATGAGTTCTTCTTCAGCTAAATCACGGGCCCGCTGCAGTGCTTGAGGGAGATGTTTGCAGAGCAGGTCAGATCCGAGGGGGTTTGTCCCATCACAGATTAATGGGTAGAGTAGGTGAGAACGGGAAAGGCCTCAAGGCAAAGACAGGCGCATGTTAATACTCCCAGGCTGCTACCCAAAGGGGCGTAGTGGGGACTGGTGGACTGAAGTCCCAACACGATGCAGCATAAAGTCCCCAGTCCTGGCCCAGAACGCCGTACTCAGCACTGTCAGAAGAAGTCTTATTCCTTTCTCCATGGTCCACTAGAGTAGGGTTACCATACGTCCGGATTTTCGGCTTTTTGGGGCTCAAATCCCCGTCCGGGGGGGGAAATCCCCAAAAGCCGGACATGTCCGGGAAAATCGGGAGGGAGGGAGGGCTCGGCCGGGGCCTCTTTGGCCGGGGCCGGTGCGGGGCCAGGCCGGGGTC